TTACTCCACATTGGAATGTAAGCTTTGTCAGTATTGCTCACTGGTACATCCCTAGCACCTGGACCAGTGCCTGGCACAAAGTAGACAGGCACTTTAGCAAATATTTGTGGACTTAATTAATAAATGCAATGCATTGGGGATGCCAACTTGGAAATAACTGGAAGCAAAATTATTATTCAAGGATAGTCAACAGAGAATTTGAAACAAAAAACTTAAGGCTCCGTCTTGAGATCAATTATATACAGTTTTTTACTTCTACAGGTGCATCCTTCAACCTCCCTGAGCCCTTTAACCCGGTCTCTGAATTCTGAAAATCATTCTTACCAAAATATTCTTCCAAGGGTTATTCCGAGGACTGTATTGCAATTTTTTATAAAATAATATATGTCTGAGACTTTATTTTTCAAGTTATATAAGATTCTAGTGTTAGAGGCACTTTTTAAAATGGTTAAACCCTGAAGCAAACTGCTTCTTTAAATACATGGATATGAACTTTCCATAGAGCACAAATACAAGATCTCTGTGAGGTTTTAATTAAGAATAATTAAAATATCTCTATTAAAATACGTTTCATTCTGCTGGCTTAGTAGGGGTTTTTACTTGAATAAAAAGTTTTATTTTTTTTGCATGTTAACAGCATAAAACACAACATTGTGCTAGAACCATCAGGAAAGATGTGGTAAGAAACAATGTGATTTATAAATTAATTCCCTGCATTACTTTTGTTAAAATGTTTTTTTCATTAAGAATTAAACTTTCACTTTGGTGGTTTATGGTTTGAATTCATTATGAGGGCATCATACAAACACAAACAAGAAATTTATATAAGAAGTAAAGAATTGTATTGGGGCAAAATATTTTTAAAATATAAAGGCTTGGTATCATATGAGGTGAGATTTTTATTCAGTTTGTGGTTTGTAAGATTAGTTGACTATTTAGTTATGTCATAAAATGACTTACATAAGCTTAGGTTAATAAGAAAGAATGTTTAAACAAAAAATTTAAAGAAGGCAAGTTATTGTTACAGGGATGGGTCAAGAGAGCCAGATACTATATGTAATTCCCAAGTGTTTGTAAAGGGGAGAGATATAGAAAGGGTCAAAACCCAAAGGGAAGAGGAAACTAGTAATTATTAAGTCTGATGAGATGAAGCTATCCCATTTAAAAAAAAAGATTTGAGAAGAGAACAGATGGGAAGATAAGTAAACACTAAATAAACCTGATGATAGAGATGGATTATTATTTTTCTCAGTACGACAGGAAGATCTAACTAAATTTGTCCCCCGCCTTTTTTTTTTTTTTTTTTTTTTTGAGATGGAGTCTCGCTCTGTCGTTGAGGCTGGAGTACAGTGGCACAATCTCGGCTCACTGCAACCTCTGCCTCCCAGGTTCAAGCGATTCTACCGCTTCAATAGCTGGGATCACAGATGCCCACTACGACGCCTGGCTAATTTTTGTATTTTTAGTAAAGACAGTGTTTCACCATGTTGGCCAGGCTGGTCTTGAATTCTTGACAGCCAGGCAATCCACCCACCACAGCCTCCCAAAGTGCTGGGATTACATGCGTGAGCCACCACGCCTGGACACTTGTCCTTTTTAAAAAGACAGTAACATGAAGACAGGAGAGCCATGTATGTGGCAGACATTGTGGTATTTTTGACTCATACCAAAACAAACAAACAAAAAACCCTTCTTTCTCTTACCACAGCGTTCTCCACATTAGTCTCTCTATGACAATGGTAAAATCTAAGTATTACCAAGAATGAGTAACATTGAATTAATAACACTCCCATTCATGCTGTTATATAATACTTCAAAGAGAAAGGGGTAAAGATTGCAAGGGAGCTATTAATCTAAGTAATAGAGAAATTTAGGAGAAGATGTGATTCCATCTAATCATCAGGTCCAGTAAGACATTCAGGGATTGAGGAGAGATCCGTTAAACTAAACCTTGTAAGATGGGTAGGATTTGAAGATTCATAGAACGGAAGAAGACTATTTCAACTAGAGTTTCAGCATGAGCAAGGGCTTGAAAGTACAGGACATGTAACATAAACATTTGTAATAGCAAAAAAGGAGGTTGACAGATACATCATTGATGTGATTGGAGAAGGAAGAAAATAAAAGTTGGAGGTGTGAATGAGATGACAGGGAACAGGCTAAGGAGTTCATCATGTTTTGTTTTGTTTTGTTTTCTCTACATATACTTTAAGTTCTGGGGTATGTGTGCAGAACATGCATGTTACATAGGTATACACGTGCCATGGTGGTTTGCTGTACCCATCAACCCATCAACTACATTAGGTATTTCTCCTAGTGCTATCCCTTCCCTAGCCCCAACAGGCCCCAGTGTTTAATGTTCCCTTCTGTGTGTCTGTGTGTTCTCATTGTCCAACTCCCATTTATGAGTGAGAACATGCAGTATTTGGTTTTCTGTCCTTGTGTTACTTTGCAGAGAATGATGGCTTCCAGCTTCATCCATGTCTCTGCAAAGGACATGAACTCATCCTTTTTATGGCTGCATAGTATTCCATGGTGTATATGTGCCGCATTTTCTTTATCCAGTCTATCAATGATGGGTATTTTGGTTGGTTCCAAGTCTTTGCTATTGTGAATAGCGCTGCAATAAACATACGTGTGTGTATATCTTTATAGTAGAATGATTTATAATCCTTTGGGTATATATCCAGTAATGGGATTGCTGGGTCATATGGTATTTCTGGTTCTACATCCTTAAGGAATCGCCACACTGTGACCCGCAATGGTTGAACTGATTTACGCTCCCATCAAACTGTAAAAGCATTCTTTTTTCTCCACATCCTCTCCAGCATCTGTTGATTCCTGACTTTTTAATAATCACCAATCTAACTGGGATGAGATGGTATCTCATTGTGGTTTTGATGTGCATTTGTCCAATGATCAGTGATGATGAGCTTTTTTTTTCATATGTTTGTTGGCCATATAAATGTCTTCTTTGGAGAAATGTCTGTTCATATCCTTTGCCCATTTTTGGATGGAGTTGTTTGTTTTTTCTTATAAATTTGTTTAAACTCCTTGTAAATTCTGGATATTGGCCCTTAGTTAGATGGATAGATTGCAAAAATTTTCTCCCATTCTGTAGGTTGCCTTTCACTCTGATGATAGTTTTTTTTGCTGTGCAGAAGCTCTTTAATTACATCCCATTTGTCTATTTTGGGTTTTGTTGCCATTGCTTTTGGTGTTTTAGTAATGAAGTCTTTGCCCATGCCTATGTCTTGAATGATATTGCCTAGGTTTTCTCCTAGGGTTTTTATGGTTTTAGGTTTTATGTTTATGTCTTTAATCTATGCAGAGTTAATTTTTGCCTAAGGTATAATGAAGGGGTCCAGTTTCCGTTTTCTACATATGGCTAGCCAGTTTTCCTAACACCATTTATTAAATAGGGAATTCTTTTCCCATTGCTTGTTTTTGTCAGGTTTGTCAAAGATCAGATGGTTGTAGATGTGTGGTGTTCTTTCTGAGGCCTCTGTTCTGTTCCATTGGTCTATATATCTGTTTTGATACCAGGAATTCTGCTTTTTGGAATTTTCAGCATTTTTGCACTGGTTTGTCGTCATCTTCGTGGATTTATCTACCTTTGGTCTTTGATACTGGTGACCTTTGGATGGCGTTTCGATGTGGACATTCTTTTTATTGATGTTGATGCTATTTCTTTCTGTTTGTTAGTTTTCTTTCAGTCAGGCCCCTCTGTTGCAGGTCTGCTGGAGTTTACTGGAGGTCCACTCCAGACTCTCTTTGCCTGGGTATCACCAGCAGAGGCTGCAGAACAACAAAGATTGCTGTCTGTTCTTTCCTCTGGAAGCTTTGTCCCAGAGGGGTACCTGCCAGATGCCAGCTAGAACTCTCCTGTATGAGGTATCTGTCAACCTCTGCTGGGAATTATCTCCCAGTCAGGAGGCATGGGGTTCAGCAACCCACTTGAGGAGGCAGTCTGTCTCTTAGCAGAGCTTGAGCACAATGCTGAGCTCTGCTGCTCTCTTCATAGCCAGCAGGCAGGAATGTTTAAGTCTGCTGAAGCTGCACCCACAACTGCCCCTTCCCCCAGGTGCTCTGTCCCAGGGAGATGGGAATTTTATCTATAAGCCCCTGACTGGGGCTGCTGCCTTTCTTTTAGAGATGTTCTGCCCAAAGAGGAGGAATCTAGAGAGGCAGTCTGGCTATAGTGGCTTTACTGAGCTGTGGTGGGCTCTGCCCAGTTCAAACTTCCAATGGCTTTGTTTACACTGTGAGGATAAATGTGCCTACTCAAGCCTCAGTAATGGTGGAAGCCCCTTCCTCCACCAAACTCAAGCATCTCAGTTCAACTTCAGACTACTGTGCTGGCAGCAAGAATTTCAAGCCAGTGGATCTCAGCATGCTGGACTCCATGGGGGTGGAATCCTCTGAGCTAGACCATTTGACTCCCTGGCGTCAGCCCCGTTTCCAGGGGAGTGAACAGTTCTGTCTCACCGGTGTTCCAAGTATTACCAGGGCATGAAAGAAAACTCCTGTAACTAGCTTGGTGTCTGCCCAAATGGTTGCCTAGTTTTGTGCTTGAAACCTAGGGCCCTGGTGGTGTAGGCACCCAAGGGAATCTCCTAGTCTACAGGATGTAAAGACCATGGGAAATGCATAGTATCTGGACTGGAATGCACGGTCCCTTAAGGCACGGTCCTTCATGGCTTCCCTTAGCTAGGGGAGGGAGTTCCCCAACCCCTCGCACTTCCCGGGTAAGATGCCACCCCACCCTGCTTCTGCTTGCCCTCCGTGGGCTGCAACCACTGTCTAACCAGTCCCAATGAGATGAGCTGGGTACCTCAGCTGGAAATGCAGAAATCACCTGCCTTCTGTGTTGATCTCGCTTGGAGCTGCTAACCAGAGCTGTTCCTATTCAGGCATCTTGCCCAGATCCTCACTTTTTGTGTTTTTTTAATATTACATTTTTAAAGATCTTACTTCATCTTAAAATTTTTACATACTAGACATGTTTCCTGCATGGTCTGTGTCCCTAGGCATGTCCACAGAACTCTAAGAAGCTGTAGGAATACACAGACGCAGACTCAGCATCATCTCCCACGTTGTGGAAAGGGATTGTACCTCAAGGGGCAGGGCCCTATGCTCCCCTATGCCTGTTGGACAGAGCCTTGAGGGAGCTCCCAGGATATCCACACTGGACCGTATTTTTTTTAGGCCAAAAGATTAAAAAATTTTGGAGGAAATGAACTATCTGAGCTACATTTCAGAAAAAATGGATCTAGCAGCTATGAGTAAAATATATTGCTGAGGAAAGGCTGAAAATAGGGAAAATGCAGTTAAAAGTTCATTATTATAGTCCCTACAAGAGGGACTATGTCCCTCTTGATGCCTGAATGTTGGCAGTGAGAGTGAAAATGAAGAGAGGTATAGAATCCAAAGACATACAGACGAAAAATCAATGTGACTTGGCCGGGAGAGTCAACATAAGTTTTTCTTCAAATGGGACAGTCAGTTTGTTAGTAGAATCTCTGCAAGAATGATGGAACACAGGATAGGAAAGCTTCTATGGAAGTTTGGGAAAGACTGTGCATGCAGCATGCCTACATGTCAGTTCTGTGGTAGAACCGAGAATAGCTTTCTGACACTGGAGGTTGGAATAGTTGATGGAGAAGAAGACAGAAATTGAGATTTCAGATTAAACTCCTTGCATTCAGACTTTATATTTTTTTTAAAGTCATTTGAGGATTCACTCTTGCCTCCTTCTAAGACTGCTAAACCTTTAAGATGCTTTCCTCTGAAATCAAATGATTGGTCTGACAGAGCAGAGTTATCCCAGAGCCATTGTAGGAAAGCAGTAATATAAATTTAGAGATACTTAAAAGAAATCATTGGACTGAATGGGGAATGGGTGAGATAAGTATAAGATGAGGCCTTGACAGTTCGTTCTCGTTGGATACCACAATGGCTACATGCCAACTCTATCAACATAGTAATACATGCTACCAGTTGCAATCTATGTATTGCTATAAAGTATCATCCTGGTATGTTGGCACTCAACTTTTTAAATCCATGTTTCAAACCAACTTTCCTTTTCTTCGGAGGGTAAGCATGACTTTTATGCAGTAATAATTTTGTCTCTTCTTCCCCCTGGGAAGCAAAGACATTGAAAGAAGACTGAGCTTTTAAAAGCTGTCTCAAGTAGTCTTTTTTAGTTATTATTTTGAAACTTAAGAAAAAAAATATTAAACTGAGAAAAAAGTAAGGCTGCTATATTGACTTCCGTGAGACACTCCATTAGTAGCCCAAACTACTTCCAAGTAATGCTCAAAAAATCGTTACATTATGCAATGGGTTCGGGTTTATAGCAGTTACACTTATCTGTTGCTATAACAGTTATATCTATAGTTAGTTATCTATTGCTATGTAGCAAATCATCCAAAAACTTAGTGGCTGCTAACAGCAATTATTATCTCTCATGGTTCCATGAGTTGATTAAGCTTAACTGGTAGGCTTTTGCCTGAGTTCTCTCATATTGTTATAGTGAAATTCCGATTGGGACTGGAGTCATCTGAAACATCACTGCCCTGGACATTCAAGGTGGCTTATTCACATGTCTGGGATCAACTGGGAATTCAGCTGGTACTATCTACTGGAGCATGATACATGACCTTTCCATGTATCTTGGGCTTCCTGTGTTCTAAGAGAGAGCATCCCAGGAACAAGTAATGATGCCAAGAGTACCAGACAGAAGCTGCAAAACTTATGATCTAGTCTAAAAAGTCATGCAGCATCACTTCCACCATATTAGGTGTTCAAAAAGAAAGTCACGGCCAGGCACTATGGCTGTTGCCTGTAATCCCAGTACTTTGGGAGGCCAAGGCAGGTGGATCAAGTCAGGAGTTTGAGATCAACCCAGTCAACATGGTGAAACCCTGTCTCTACTAAAAATACAAAAAAAGAAAGAAAGAAAGTCATGAGACCATCACATTCAATGGGAGGAGGCTATATATACATGCATTAACACTGTGAGGCATGATTTATTGGCGGGAAGAGGAGAGTACCTGTCTTTGAGGACTAGCTACTACTAGTAAAACCAGTACTTTACTTTACTAGTAAAACCATAAAGCAGGATTATCAGGAGGAAATTAGACCAGATCCAGTAGATGTGAGTTTTTCAGAATATTACTGCTACCAGTAGAGTTGATGGTCCTCATTTATCCCCTTCCTTTAGAGTAGTTTACTGTTTCATTCAATCCTGATCTCAGATTCTAAACCTCTTTTCCCAGTATATTGATTTAGTTTCTTTAAGAGTCTTCAGAGCTTTCATTAGTAGACCTAATGTCTCCAAAGGTGCCCAGACATGGTAGCATATGAAATATGTTTTATATTGTATTGTTTTGTCCTACCTCTTTGCCTCTGGGCCCTCCACAAGGGTGAGCCTAGGCAAGGTACCATTTTATTTTTCAAGGTTAATTCAGCAAGCATTAATTGAGCACTCTGTCCTTGTCACAGGAGAAACAAAGAAATATAGCACATCTGTAAGATGTAAATAAAACAAAAGGAGATAAAGGCCTGTATTATTAGCTAAGTTCTATAATAAAAAGACCCTAGAAATATAGACACTATAGAAGTTTATTTCTCTCACACATAATAGTCCAAGGTGGCAATCCAGATGGGCAGGTGGTTCTGCCCCACACAGCCAGGTGGGGCAGAACCGTCCTGTTTCTCTGCCATCACCAAGGCAGTATTCTCATCTGCATGGCGACAGCTGAGCTGCAGATTCATCATCATTCTTGACCACAGGAAGTGGGAAGAGAGAACATGGAGGAGACATGCCCACTTCTTTAAGGCACCAGAAGTTACACAAATCAATTCTATGCTTGTGCCATTGGCAAGGACTTAGTTAAATGGCCAAACCTAAGAGGAAGGGAGCTTGGAAATGTAATTCATTGGTGTCCATGTGCTTGATTACAATTGTTTTAGCAAGAGTTTCAGCAACAGTTAGCAGACACCACAATAGCATGTAAACAAATCATTACAAACTAATGTGATATCTGTCACTAGAAAAACATACAAAGTGCTATGAATACACAGTAGGGAGTGGGAGTCACTAGCTTGGCTTCAGTGTTTGGGAAGGGTTTTCACAGGAAATAAAATTTTAAATGATTCCAGAAGTAATGAATAGAGAAAAATAGGACATTCTCTGCAAAAAAAAAAAAAAAAAAAAAAGATATATATATATATATATATATATATATATATATATATATGCCCAGGTACAGAGTACAAAAGAGTGTTAGGGTTTTGGGGACTAGCAAAAATTTGGTATGGCTGAGCATAGGACCCATAGAATGAGGAATTATAGAAAATGAGATCTGGAAGATAGAGAGGATTATACTAAGAAGTAGCTAAGGCTTTATTCTCTAGGGATGGTGGGGAGCTCTCAGAAGTTTGTAAGCTTGGGACTGGCATGGTCACAGTGCTGGTGGTGGTGTGAAGAGAAGTCAGAGTAAGAGGAGAACAGTTAGGAGCAGATTACAGGGGGGACGTAATGGGAATTAAATCAAAATAGTTACAGAGATGGGAGAGGAAGGAAGAAATATCTAGGGAACTGAGACTACAGCTTACTTTTATGAAAAGGTTGAGGAAAAGATGAATGCTTTCTCATTTTACAGGGTAGATAATTGGTTTTGCCCTTAACAATGCAAGTACAAGAAGAGAAAACAAGTTTTCTAGGGTGAGATTTTTAATTTGTTTCTAGACATAAAGAATTTTGAATATCTGCCATATATCCACATTTCTGACTAATTTCTGCTGGGTTTAAAGGTAAAGGAAAAGAGCAGAAGGTGAGTCTAAGGACTGGCTTGACTCCAGATAAATATCTTTCTTAGTTCTGTGGGCAGATGTATAAGAGAATGTTGTGTCTTAGCAATATGGGAAACTAACTTGGCCTAGTCTGTGATGACAGTAAACTTTTAACAATTCATCAGCCCTTTTAATGCCAGTTTTTTATATAATGCCCTTCACTTATATTCAGCCACTCAGCACCTGCCATATGCCAGGTTCTATACTAGGTGATAAGGACACAACCCTGACAACAAGTACAGCTCCTGCTCTTAAAAAGTAAAGGCCCAAAAAATGTAAGTTAACCATTCCAGGTCAGTGAGAGTAAAATTATGTGTAGGGAATGAGGGTGGTGGCACAGAAATTAGTGTTTTGAGTTCCAAGCAAAGACAAGAGAATATGTGGTATATTTGACAACTGAAGAAAGTCCAATATTGCTGAAGAATAGAGTATAATAAGGGTAGGACAATAAAAAGAAATGACCCTAGAAAAATAAACAGGAACTAGGTCACGGAGAGCTTGCTTAACCTTGTAAAAACTTGGAAAAGGGGTTCTAAGAAAGGGAATATAATATGATTAGATTTGAATTTTTCAGTGAACATTCTAGCAATAATAAGGGTAATGGATTAAAAGAGTTACAGGACTAAAAGCAAAGCTAGTTAGATCATGATGACCTGGATGAGTGGTGGAGATGGAGAAAATCATTTGATGTGGGAGATGTTTAGGAAACTCAGTGGGTCCTGAATATTGATGGTCTCTCCTGGGTAATAGGGCTGAAGCATCAGTTTGGTGTCCAGGCTTTTCGTTTGGTAATTATATGGATGCCTATCATTAACAGAGAAAATATTTTTTGGAGAATGATGAGTTCAGTTTTGACATGCTGAGTTTGAGGTGCCTGCCAGACCTCCAAGTAGACATGGACACTAAACTATTAAATATGTTGGCTGAGGCTCAAGACTGAGAGAGATTATTGTATAAATATACACAATTTTTTAAAAAGAAAAGGAAGTGACTATGGAGGAGAAAGGAAAACTTTTGAAACAACTGGAAGAGAAGGAAGAGTCAACAGAGGTTTTAGTTTATTTAAGACGAAAGAGACCTGAATAATTATAAATTGTATAAACAGCTAGTCAGAATGTGAAGATGTGGAAAATTAGGCTATAGAATGGAAATGCCTTGAAGATAAGGCAGGATTTGATTGAGAGTTTAATTTGGAAGAAAATTTTCCTTTAGAAAGAGAGAGCGTTAGTTTAATGCTGACACGTCTTTTGATTTGGTAGTGAAAAGTTAAAGAATTCCATTCGGATTAATTTTGGTTTTGCCTGGAATTAGGAGACCAGTTGACATGCTCAAG